TGTGAACTAAATGCCTGTGCTAAGTGACCTAGCAATGGGAGGATTTAGAATGACATGGCATGTGCATTTGAGCTGGTTTGCAAGCCACGAGTCAATTCTCCCGGGTCTGGAAAAGGTAGTCCTCTTTAGAAAGGTCCTAGGAAGCCACAACCTGAAAACTGCACTTCCCTCTGAGGCCCAATCAGAAGAGTCACATGAGGAGTGGGCCAGCTTATATTTGTAAGGTCAGTACTGGGTAGAGGGGACCATTGAGGTCAGCTCCCTCCACTTATTTCAGCCACACTAATTCTCTTTCATCATGGTCAAGCATTCCCAAGATGACTTTTCTACCGACCATGGAAGTTCCCAATTGCTACTGGTAATTACCAAAGGAATCTCTTTCTACCTTTTCATTTCAGAGAAATATAACCTGCTTTTCAAAATAACTTTAGCCAAAACAGACATAAAAGTGATAGATTGCTAGCCGTGGAGCTGGGTGAGGGGAGGAGTCAGCTCCCATTGTTCAGATGCCTGAGGTGGGATGCAGAGCCCAGTGTATAGATTCAGAAAGCATGGACCAGGGGCTTGGGGTAGACACCAGGATGGGAAAACGAGGATCTTTGCTGTCACAAAAACTCTGGCAGAATGCAAAGGGAACTTAAAATAGAAGTATCCTCTGCGTCTAGAAGTTCTTTTTGTGTGCCCATACTTTGAGTCACCCCTCATTTATCCATACCAAACCCCAATGTAATTTCATGAGCTACAACAATGTAGGAAATCAACAGTTGCCTCAGAGACCAATGACAACTTTACCTTCCAAATAATTTTACTTTTACTTTTGGGGGAGTTTAAGAGTCAGAGGAGCCCCAACACTGGTCCTTCTTGACAAGAGATGTCACTTAAGTAATATGTTCATAACACACTGAATAGCATGTTAACAGGGTGTTTGCAGGGCATCTTGAGACACTTTAAACTTGGATTTCCATGTTAATGATCTCTTTTCACTTGGAACAAACCCAGCCAAGAGGATAGTATTGCTGCAATGAGCTTGTACTTTCCTTTGGAGGCAAGTAAAGGCAGCAAATTGTCAGAAATCCAGCACTCTGGCTTCCTTCCCTTATTCCTGTGTGGCCTGGCAGGTACAGGGCAGAACTGGACCCTAAAAAAATTGCCTCTCCACATTTTAATTTGCATTTCATATACCATATGGGGAGCTGGGTTTCATGGGGGTATATTTCATGGTTTAAGTTGACCTGCATTGTCTAATGTGTTCATCCATGGTTGTGGGTAAAGGTGACTTATGTTCTAACTTCCCTTGTGTTCAAGTAGTAGCGGGTAGATAATCTCAGTGTATTTCAACTCATCCAAGTTCTATGAAAAAGGAAAACAAAATATTCCTTTTAAGAAAGTGACCAACAAAGTAGCTTATTGCAATGAAGAAACTGAGAACTTTTTCCCTGCAAGGTTCAGGAGTGACTTTCTTCCATCCACACCTCACTTTCAGCCACCACCTGCCTCACTCTTCCTTCTCTATTTGCTGCTACCTGCCTTTCTCATTTTTTTTTAATTGGAAATGCACCCAGAAGTATATTTTCTGGGTTGTGTGATGATAGTTTCTTTAGAAGAACATTTTCCAAGCCATTTTCTATCCCAGAGTGTCTGCCACTCAACACAGTTGCCACAACCACTGCATAAGGCTCACTTTCCCTACATCTTCACCAATGCTTTCTTGCTGCTTATCTATTCATCCAGTAATGGTAGTTCTAATGGATGCACAGTGGTATTTTACTGTAGTTTGTGTTTATTTCTCCAAGATTAGTGACACTGGGCAATTATTCCATACGCTTACTGGCTATTTGTATACCTTGGGATAAATATCTATTCAAATCTTTAGCCATTGTTACTTATCTTTTCGTTATTCCATTGGAAATACTTTTAAATGCTCTAGACATTATCTCTTATTGATACATGACTTGTAAATATTTTTTCCTAATCCAACAACTATCTCTTTGCTCTATCATATTTTTTGATGCATAATTTTTAAAGATTTTCTATTTTTATTATATCTGTACCAGTGGCTTGCCTGCATTTGTGTCTATGTGCCATATGCAAGTGGTTCCCAACAAAGCCAGAGAAGGGTGTTGGATCATCTAGAATTGTAGTTACAGATAGTTATGAACAGTCATGTATTGGGTCTTGAAGGTCTTGAACCTAGATTCTCTGCAAGAACATAGCTTTTAACTGTCGAGCTATGTCTCCAGCTCCCTCTATAGATTTTTTGCTTTAACAATGGTGTCCTAAAATCCAATTTATTCTATTTTTTTGTTACACACATTAATTTTGTCACAGCCAAGAAATTATTCCCAGGTCTATCGCTATTACACTATTTTCTCCAAAAGTTTTAGAATGTGTAATTTTACATTTAGACTGTGACTCACCAGAATGTGATGTGAAGTTAAAGGTTGGACCAACATTTATTTACTTTAACATGTAGACATCATTTTCTAGCAGCCTTTATAGACAGTTTCTCCCCTGTCCAGTCATCTTAGTATAATCTCTAAATTGTTTGCCCATGTATTCGAGGATTCATTTCTGGGACCTTTGCTCTATTTTCTTGGGCTACACTTTGTCTTTATGCAACACTGAAATACACTCTTCTTCCCTTAGACTATGTGGTAAGTTTTGAAATCAGGAGTAGGGGACATTCATGTTCCTTTTCAAGCTTGTCTGGATGTTACCTGGTCCTTAAGATTTCATTAGAATTCCAAAATTTTTCTGTTTTTGCAGAAACAACTTTGTTGAGATTTTGATTGAGACATCATCAAAATTTATCATTTTCATGATATATTAGTATTTTAGTATTCAGTTTTCAACACACAGGAATAGTATACCATTTCATGTATCCATTTCTTAAAAACATCTTTGAGCAGTACCCTACGGGTTTCAGAGTGTAAGTCTCCAGAGGGCTCTTCACCAGGCTTATCATGCTTATTCCTCAACATGTGGTAATTTTATTATTAAATTACATGCAGAATCTTTATTTATTTATTTATCTATTTATCTATCTATCTATCTGTTTGTTTGTTTGTTTGTTTATTTATTTATTTGAGACAAGGTTTCTCTATGTAGCCCTGGCCATCCTGGAACTCACTTTGTAGACTTCATCTCTCTTGCTATTATGGGGTCTCTAGTTCTTGTGTTCTTGAAGAAAAGAATTCTGAGGCTACTGAGAAAAGACCTTCCAGTCTGAGAGTAGGGTAAGGCCAAAAGTGTCAGACAGACAGTGGAGAGGTATAACAGGAGGAATGAGGCCAAAGTAAGCCTAGATGGCCACAGAGGACACTGGTGTGTATAGTCGAGAAACAAGTCTTGTGAGTGCGGGGGAATCTGTGTGTTTCCTTGATTCTGAATCTGAGGCTACAGTTGCTCCTTAGGGATTAGACTGGGACAGGCAGAACATCCTGGCTGGAAGGTGGAAAATGAAGTCCAGAGCTGGTCCTGGAGGGTCCAGGTGGGAGCAGAAAGCTTATCTCTGCTGGTTGAGCAATTGAAAAATGCTTCTAGGCCTGGGCAAGTGCCCTAAACCCCTCAGGGCAACGGCACCAGGAAAGCATGGAAGTGGACTTCCTGGAATAAGGAAACGGTGAGGCTCAGTCACTTACTCCCTCTCGTTTCTTGGTCAGCAGGAGAAAGTGTAAGACACACCATTGTGTTAGAGACAGGAAAGTAGCAGAGGAAGCAGTAGATAACTGTGGGACCCAAGGGGCTGCTCTGGGGAAGGACATGAATCTCTACCTGAGCATTTTAGAGAAGTGTTTCTTCAACTTTCTTCATGCCACTGCTTTTGCCTGAGAAATTTATGACATCCAGGCACATACATGCCAGACATTTATTGATAGTAAATTATAAAAAAACTTTAAAATATTTCTTAAGTGTACATATAATTATACTATTTATTAAAAACAAAACCAGAACTGCATATTAATGAGATGAATGGATTTGTATGTTGGGAATTAAATGTTGACTGAGTATTTGATTCCACAGAACAAAAGGCAGCTTCAAGACTGCTCAGAGCAGATTGCAATTTTGGTTATATGCTCATCAATGCTGAGAACACTACTTACAAAAATACACAGTACCACATGGCAAAGGAATGGTTACACCCTGTAGTGGCTAGTTTTCCCCTAATAACCCCCATCATCAGATTAGTGTGTAGGACATTTTCTTTTTTAAAAAACTTATTTATTTTTTATTAATTACAGTTTATTCACTTTGTATCCCAGCTGTAACCCCTCCTTTTTCTCCTCCCAATCTTGCCCTTCGTCCCTTATCTCCTCCCATGCCCCTCTCCAAGTCCCTCCTCCCCTTTTCTCTGACCCTAGTCTATCAGGTCTCATCAGGACTGTTTTCATAGTCTTCTTCTGTGGCCTGACAAGGCTGCTCCTCCCTCCTCAAGGTGAGGTGATCAAAGAGCCAGCCACTGAGTTCATGTCAGAGACAGTTCCTTTTCCCATAACTAGGGAACCCACTAGAAGACTGGGCTGCCATGGGCTACATCTATACAAGGGTTCTATCTCTATGAATAGTCCTTGCTTGGAGTATCAGGCTGAGAAAAGACCCCTGGATCCAGACTTTTTGGTTCTGTTGCTCTGCTTGTGGAGCTCCTGTCTCCTCCAGGTCTTTCTATCTCCCCCTTTCATAAGATTCCCTGCACTCTGCCCAAAGTTTGGCTATTAGTCTCACCATCTGCATTGATACCCTGCTGGGTAGAACTTTTTAGAGGCCCTCTGTGGTAGGCTCCTGTCTTGTTCCCTGTTTTCTCCCTCTTCTGATGTCTATCCCATTTGCCTTTCTGAATGAGGACTGATCATCTTACCCAGGGTCCTCCTCCTTGCTTAGCTTCTTTAGATGTACAGATTTTAATATGTTTATTCTATATTATATGTCTAATATCTACTTATAAGTCAATACATGCCATGTGTCTCTTTCTACTCCTGGGATGCCTCACTCAGGATGATCTTAAAAATATGGAACACTTCACACATTTGTGTGTCCTCCTTGTGCAGGGACCATGGTAATCTTCTCTGTATAGTTCCAATTTTAGTGTATGTGCATGGGCAAGCATAGGCGTTTTCTTGATAGGTTGTAGCTCTTCATCTAGCGGTGAAGCTTTGTGAGATTGCCTGCATTCGTGTTGGCATGTCAACTGGTGTTGTCCTTGGGCAAATCTGTTTAAGTGATCATACTCTTGATGTTTTATGAGTGCAGCTCATGTCATGTATAGAAGACATACAGAACAGTAATGCTGATTTTCTGAGGAATATAAAAATATTAAAGGGCTTTGTTTCCTGTATTTAAACTATCATGTTTCTGTGAGGAAGAAGACCTTCTCATGCACAGTAAGAGCAAGACAGATCATTAAGTGCTATAAGCAGCCTCACATCTGAGTGGAGGCATCACGGTGTTCCTTACTGCATGCACAGTTACCTAACTGCATGCACAGTGCAAGGCGTGCATGTCTCCCATGTGCAATCAACACTACAGTGAGGTCACCTGAGACAACAGGGCACAGGTGAGTGCTATCAGGGACACCTTGAATTCATTACATTTTGTTTTGAAATTAGTTTTTCATTGTTGAGAGTTCAGAAACATTCTACTGCTGCCAATTTTTTATATCCTCTATTCAGTTATAAGTCTCAGTGTATGGTTAAAACCCACAGCTTAAGATGCCATTTTAAACCACCTCTCTCCCTTTCTTTCTCTCTCTCTTTCTTCTTTTTTTTCTGTCTCTCTGTGTCTGTTTTTTGGTGTGTTGGTGTGAATGCTTGTTTATCCACCTTCCTCAAGAACTTCTGTTTACAAACCATTGTTTGATGGTGGACTTGAGCAAGCCATCCTGGTATTGTTGGAATAGTCTATGTGTTGGACCAAATTTGAAGACAGTGGTAGAGCCATCTTTATTATAAGACTTATGCAAACCCTTGCACACAAATCTTTAGATTTTAAATTAGTCACGCATTGTATGGAAACATGATTCAGTGTGGCCCCAAGCACAACTTGGGTATAGCCCCGAAGAAGCCATAAACAGCTCACCAGGGTGCCTAGGGATTGCTGCACCCCTCCACTAGGGCCTTTGTTGTAATCTGCTATTGCTAAATGGTGAACTTGGGGTGACATGTTCCCAGAACCAGCCACTGTGAAATCTCCTCTCAACCAGAGGAAAGGTGTTTGCTAGCCTTGCACACTCAGTGCATATAGTTTCTGTGATGGAGAAATAGCCCACTAGTGGCACCGTTCATTTCTCAGGCAGTATCGAGTTTTACATATGATAAACCAAAGCAGCTGGCTTTACCACAGGTGAAGCTGAAAAGAAGTGTGGATGACTTCTAGAGGGATGCTACTTCCTGTGGAAAGGCACAGGAACACTGGTAACTGTGGCTGACAGCCTTTCCCTGGTGTGCTCCGGATGGGGTGCGGTGTTCACACAGGCTCAGAAGGCTGAGATGCCAAGGAGGACTCAGGTGGCAAAGAGTAACTCTTCCCACATGTGTGCCATTATTAGACATTCTCTGACCTTCCAGAAAATGTAGCAGCTAATACAGAGTTCTAGGAGCAGAAAAAAGGTAGTTTGGAGCCAACAAAGTAAGAGAAAATGGAAAGTGTTGGGGCTAAAAAGAAGTGTGGCTCTTTTCCATGCTAATGAGAGCAAATCCTGCTGATGGAATCAGGCAGGAATTATGTTGGTGAGAAACTATGTCTAAGAGGTCAGTCCATGTTGCACAAAAGTACACATTGTTTCTTCTTTCTCTGTGTTAGGGCTGAACGCCACTGTCCATTGTGCTGTTGGCTCGGCACTCGGTTCACACTATGATTTTGAAATATCACATCTATCTGGTCCACTGTGGGGATGACATTCTGTAATGCTACAGCCTATGAACACCACTGTCCAGCTATTCGACTGTTGGCATGGCATTTGGGTTATACCATATTATCAAAATACTAGCATCTATCCATCCTACTGTTGGAGTGGCATTTGGGTAATACTATGGTTTGAATGCTTCTGAACTTTGCATGGTGCATAAGGCTTGATGACTCTGTGGTGTTTGGAAGGTAGTGTTACCTGAAGGGTGTGGATCATAGTAAAAAACAAACAAGCAAACAAACAAAAACTTTAGAACATGAGTTCCTGGAAGAGGTTCTGTGATCCTAGGGTCTTCCTTTTATGTTTCCAGGCTCAGAAGTTAACTAGTTTTGCTCTGTCGTGCATTTCTGGCATGGCTTATTTATGTACCCTGAAGCCCAAAGCAAAGGACCACAAGTTAAATTCACCTTTCTTCTTGGTTAGTTAATTGCCTCAGTTATTTTGTTACAATAACAGACACCTTACTAATGCAGGCTGTTTGGGGTTTGATTTATCAAGAATGACATTGTGTGGACAGCATCAATAGATTGTTATTTTCTGAAACGCTGTCCTCTGTTTAATGCAGACGAGTTGCAACGCACCTCCTCATGGAGTGTGTGTGCATTCAGCCATAGGGATGGTGGCACTCCTGCCCTGTTCTCTGAGTTACTTCATATCCTCAACAATATTTGCCGCAGCCCATCTGTGAATTCTAACCATTGAGATAGGCCGAGGATTAACGTATTAAAGCTTCATTTATCCAAACGACCCAGAAACTGAGCATGGCTTTGAGCACTTTATTAGTTACTTTGCTGTGGTCTTATGCTCAGCATCTTGATTTATTTGTATGTGATTGTCTCTTTTTTTTTTAAATAATCAGTCAAGACTTCATTTTATATTCTGGATACAAGCTTTTTTCCCCACAGTTGTGTTGCAAATGTCTTTTCTCTTTTTCTTTTCTACCACCCCTGTCTGTGTCTCTCCGTGGTCTTGATTACTAAACAATTTCTGAAATAATTTAATGTAATATGAATTTTCAGACTTCTTTTTATGAACAAACGCAAAAGGTGTGTTGGTGTGTGTGTCCATCCTCTTTAAGAAGTCCTCAGCAGTTACGACTTAATGAGTTCTCCTACATATGTATTTTTATCTTATGTTCATTTGTTTATATACCCCTTTAAATTAATTTATGAACATGTTATCCAGTGAATCCAAATCTATCTATCTGTCTGTTTATCTATTTATCCATCTGTCTTTCTGTCTATGTATCTATGTATATATGTATTTATCTATCTACAGCTGTCTACCTATCTATCATCTATGTATCATCTATGTATGTATGTATGTAAGTATCTATCTATCTATCTATCTATCTATCTATCTATCTATCTTTATCATCTCTCTTTCATGAGTTTTCAGTGGAAAATAGTCCAAAGGAGATAATTTAGTGTCAATTCTTCAACTGATAGCATGGATTTTAACTGACTATTACACAATAGTATGCCAGCAACTTTTTAAAATGTTGCTATAATTGTTTTCAGATACTGAATCACAGGCATGAAAATATGCGCTGTGAGTCTGCCACAGCAACAGAAGCAAGATGTAGTAAGTAGAGGAAAGTGGAGGGAAGTTTTTAGATTCTGAAAATATTTTGAAGAATTTAGGCACAGTATCTTTGTTGCTACATGTAGCTGGCAGGGAAGATTTAATAATGGCTCCAAGATCTTAGCTCCACCAACATGAATTATGTAACTACAGTTTACCAGGATGGAAAAAACTCAGTGGGAGAGGGTCTAGGGATAATAGCAGGAGTTTATTCCAAGTGTGCTTGTGGATGCACAGAATACTAGATTTCTGAAAGCAGCAGCAGGGTGATCATGGCAGCAGCAGGGTGGTCATAGCAAGTTTGAGGCCATCCAGGATTGTACTGAGACCTGGATTGAAATTTTTCACTAATATTGAGAAGAGTCTCAGGCATTTGTGTTGAAAAAGTGGGCTTCTAAGAGTGAGGTTATGGCAGAGGTCTGGATATGATTGGTGAGTCTTCAGTTCAGCCTGTGGTTTATAACCACTGGCTGGAGTCTCTACCTATAAAGAGAATATGATGGAGGACTCAATGAGAGAGAGAAACTGAGTATTGGTAGTCCAGCTGATGGACCTTAATCTGTTATCAGATTTATCAGATAAATGTGCTGAAGTGGGAATATTGCTGGTGGGTTTATATTATGGGCTAGATTGTGTCCCTTAAAATTTGTATGTTGCAACTCTAGCGCCTTGTACTTTGGAATGTAACTATTTACGGACCTTTAAAAAATGAAATTGAGTTTAAGTGAATGTCTTGGCCCTTATCCATGTAGCTGAGGACCTTGGCACACTCCTCCCTGCAGTTAAAATTTTCAGAGGAAGAGGAGAAGCATGTTTGGAGAAAGCCAGTGAGAGCTCATCCAGAGGCAGTCCTAGGCAGCCATCCAGATAGCCCAGCAGTCTTGTCCGTCCCTGTGGGTTACAATGATGTTTGGATGTCAAGGTGACAAAAGCTTTCTAGTTCTTATTGTCGACTGGACTAAGTTTAGAATCACCTATGAGACACACTCCCTCAAATCTTCCTCTTTGTATGTAATTAAAAAAATAAATTCCTAACCAAAGTAACAAGAAAGAACATGAATGTACTAAATAGGGATTGGTGGGGACAGGACATTAGAGAGAGAGAAGAGAAAGGAGAAAGAGAGAGAGAGAAAGGAATTTATGCATGCAGAGTCCAGGAATGAAAGTGGGTGTTTTTGTTCCTCAGGTCCTGGCCATCTTGTATTTTTATTTTTGAGATACAGTCTCTCTCTCCCTTGGCTTGGAATTTATGACCTATGCTAGACTGCCTTTCCAGCAAACCCCGGAGATCACCTATCTCTGCCTCCCCTGCTCTGGCTTTTGTATGTAGTTTTGGTGCTCACAAGGCAAGTTCTTTGCTGGTTGTGCTATCTTCTCAGCACATGCTGGAAAATGTAAGAAAACAGCAAACACTTCTGAAAGACTCAACAGGAAAGCACAAAAGCACATAGCAGCAACAAAACTGCTCATGATTCCTCATGATTTTCCAACCTGGCACTTACCTACACAGCAGCAGATGCTCTGGGGTATGAAGAGTGCAGGAGGGTAGGGATAAAAACTACAGCTGGGAATTCCTTCCCAGCATGGTGCGTGGAGTCACTGTGCAGGTGAGCACACAG